AAGCAGCACCTTAGGAGAGGGGATATGGCAGGAGGATCCTCAGGCTTTGTATTGGGCTGCAGAGTCCTGATGCTAAGATGCAAAGAACTCTTTCCCTTGAGCATTTTTTTTTCCTTCTTTTGGTACTGGGGATTGAACTTCGGGGTGCTTAACCACTGACCACATCCTCAGCCCTTTTTATSTTTTATTTTAAGACAGGGTCTCACTAAGTTGTTTAGGGCCTTGATAAGTTGCTGAGACTGGCCTTGAACTCAAGATCTTCGTGCTTCAGCCTCCGGAGTTGCTGAGATTCCAGGTATGCACCACCATGCCTGGCCTTGCTTGAGCATTTATAGAAGCAGCTTTTTTTTTTTTCAGCCAGATCAGCACCCTGATACCTAAAAAATAGATTTCTTCTGTCTGCTTGGATTGCTTTAGGGGTGTGAGACACAGAGAGTTCCAACATCTTTCCTGAAGACGATCAGCAAAGTAAGTTGAAGGGTGGAGGAGTGTAGTCTGGTGGAATTGGGTTGCTTTGTGTTGTTGACTGCTAATTGCCCAATGGCTGAGGTGGGAAGGCACACATATTCTCAGACCTGTGTGTTCATTGCATGCCTTGTATCCAGATGGACACAGTATCTGCGAGATACTGGAGGATGTTTGAAGAAGATGCTGGGACACTGGGACCACAGTAGTGGCCACCAGGCAGAACATCGCTGCTTGCCTCTGATGTCTGCTTCCTAAAACCTGGAAACATCCATAAGGGACTTCAGAGGGAAAGGGGGTGGCCTGTGACTGACATGACTAAAAAAATCCAAAGCGGATACAATTACCTCTGCTGGGCTCCCTGTTACCCCCAAACAGCCTAAAAACAAGCCCTCATCTGCTCAGTGCTTTCCAGTTTACCAAGTGTTTTCACAACACTGTCTCATTTTATCCCCACATCAACCCACACACATTCTTGCCTTTCAGATTTCTTATGTACTCAAATGAGTTTCACCAAAAATTGGCTAGAAACTCCCCTCTCCTACTCACTTTTATTTTTTAAACCTCAAACCTTTGACTGAAGGTTTAAGAAGCTCCCAGATTCCCAGAGTGGGAAACTCATTTATTCTGCCTTCCCTGCCCTACTGGATGGATACCAGGAATCCTGATCTTTGCTCTTGGAACCAACAGTTTTGTGTAAAATTCTTAGTTTAGCTATTAAAACAAACAAAACCACAGAGGCCACAATAAGTGTTGTTTTGTGAAAAACAAAAAAACAAAAAAACATAGCCTTTGTAACCAGGAAGCTCCAGAGTCAAAATTTGGTTCAGCCATTTGAGTGCCAGGTGCCATAACCAATTACTCATTTTCTAGAGCCTTGACTTCTTCATCTGTGAAGTGGAGCAGTAGTGACGGTGTCCAAGTTGTAGGGAGGCATAAATGTAACAGATCTGGGTGCACTGCCGCAAATGTCACCCCTTCCTTTCCTATTTTCCTAAGGTCAAAAGCTACTTCGTGAAGTCCTTTATAACCCACCCAAAGTACTAACCAAAATACCAGCTTCACTGCTACTAGAAAAATTTAATACAATACTGTCTTTGCAAGTCAGAGAGAGATACCATGTGAGAATATGTTGCTAAATGAATTTAGATAGTGATCTCTCTTTTTTTAACTAGCTGAAAAATAGCTACATGCCTTGCATACCGGCACAGTTATAACTAAGATAACTCTAATAAGATCTTAAGATTAGCTTTAGTCTTCTTTTAAAAAGTATTCATTTCGGCAAGGTAGAGAAGGAGCTCAACAACTGGACTTGTGTAATATTGGAAAGCAAGGTGCTTCTGATTATGCCTGGATTATTATTGAAAGTGAATTGCAAATCAACCCTTCCATCCCTCAGGACAAATGTGGGAGAAGGGAGGGAGTCAGAGGACTCTGACTGGGTGTTGAGTTCACTGATATGCATATAGTAGATGATGTTCAATAAATGTGGGTGACGGATGGAGGTGGTGTTTGACCTTTGCTGCTGATTCCTTGGCAAACACAGTGCACAGCGAAGTGTTAGAGTGGAAACAACATTTGACCAGCGGTTCGAAAGCCCAGGTTCCACCTATACCACTTAATAGCCTGGTGACCTTGGACATGCCATTTAATCTCTTAAGTGTCTTCTCACCTGTAAAATGAGGAGACTGGACGAGGTGATTTGGAAGGTCTCTTTCAGCTCTAAGGTTCTGGAACTCTAAGCAACTTCATTTGATTGAGTTTCTATTCCTTCATTTATTCAAAGGCAGCAGGGATAGAAACTTATCTCCTAGGGCACTGGAAAGAAAGGTTATTGTGCCTGTTAAAATGCTCTGTATCTTCAGAGAAATGAAGGAAATTCAATGATGGAGAGCATGTAACAGAGTGGAAACCTAGGTGTGTCTGCAACTCCTGAGGGCCAGAGCCAGACCAACCCGTTCTAACTGATTGATCTTTGGCAAGTGTCCTAATTTACTTCAGCCTCAGTTTGCACATATGTAAACTGGGGACTCTGAAGTGGTGCAGCCGTAATCTTGTCACATTCTTACATTCTTTGAAAGCCAAAGTGTTGAAAATGCTTTGCAAAACTGAAAAGCGCTATACAAAGTATGGTTGAGAAATGGCTGCTTGTTAGTTGTATCAAGTTCAGTACCGTGTCTCCATATTTTCATTTAGGGGACATAACCAAAGGCTTATTTTCCACTCTTAATTTACTGACCGGTGAAATTTAGGTAAAGTGAGCAAAATTTTCTAAAGTGTAGGCATCAGATAATTGCCTCAATGACCTCCAATGTAAGGAATTCTCCCAAAGGCCAGATCACTGCTGGTGAAGGCCTTCCTTCCTACCCTCTTCTCCAAAAGGAGCCCATTTCAACTTAAGATACGTGTGGGGGTGTGGGGGGAGTAAATGAGGAGGGTTTTTCTAAGTTTTGAAAATTTTATGATATTCATAAATATGAAAGTGTATCTATTATATGTAAAATTGATGTGACAACCTTTTTTTATTGGTTATTCACAACATTACAAAGCTCTTGACATATCATATTTCATACATTAGATTGAAGTGGGTTATGAACTCCCAATTTTACCCCAAATGCAGATTGCAGAATCACGTTGGTTACACATCCACAAATCCCAGGCCTTGCCAGGGAATGCTCCTGGGGAGATATGGCAGAAGGCTTCCATCCTGCTCACCCCAGGGCCTGGTTCAGGCATCCTCCTCYGAGGGCCTTGGAAAGTCCCAGTAGGAAACCAGATCTTCAAGCAATGGCTTCCCTTTTGACACCCCCAGATGACAACATGTCATACCCAGTCAGTGACATTGAGGAGCTTCCCCACCCTTTACAAAAGGCATAAAGCCCTTCTCTTCGAAGTAACCCCACACCTGGAACATCTCCATTAGCATCTGACCATAAAGAGTGGCCCTCCATCAGGACACCAACCCCAACCCTGCTGCACACAGGTGGTGCCTTGCAGGACAAACCAGCTCTTGCTCTCATTTGGGGGATAGGGACAGGATCCTAAATTTTCTGGTTGAAGCCATATTTTATCAAGAAGCACACTTTTTATTCCAGGTGAATATATGAATGACTGATAATAGCACCGTTATTTAAAAATTACTCTTAATGATTATTTTTATTGAAATTGAGTTTGGGGAAAACTGATGAAAATTATGAGGGCCCCATCTTTCAGATTCCTCAAGCCCAGACACTGTTAAACCCTTACCATAATCCCATCATCCTTTTACCTGATGACTCCCTCGTCCCACTTTTAAGAACGTGTGTGTATGGATTCAATACATTCACTACCTTTTCTTCAAAGAGCTGACTTATACTTTCAAGATAATTTAATTTTGCTCAGTTTTTTGAGAGCCACCCCCCCCACCCTTTCCCAGCCCTGTGTACACATAGCTCAAGTTATTTTATAGGTAAAATACATAAAGCTATTTTGTAGGAGTAATTGAAGTAGAGGTGGCAGAATGGCAGTCAGACTCCCGTGCAGTGGCTGTGGGGGCTAAGCAGCGCGAAGGCCTGGACAGACCCGGAGATGTAATTCCTGGGCAGTGTGGGAAGCTTTGCTCTGAAGCTCTTTGTTTACGCTGTTATACAGCGACTCCTTGGAGCAGATACGGGATCCAAGACTAGTGGTGCGTGCTCGAGCACCGCCCACTCGCACCTCCTACCCGCACCGTGGACCGTGTGTGTGTGTGTGTGTGTGTGTGTGTGTGTGTGTGTATCCGCGCGCTCGTGTCCAGTGAAATAACCCAAGAATGACACCACATCCTTTCTCCCACAAACAAAACCCTCCATGGATCCCAAGGCTTCGGACCAGTTCCTCGCAAATCTTGCGACCCCGCAGGCAGTGGGTCCCCGACTCCCTGTCTCTTCTGCCTACCCACAGCGTTTTTTAGTGATGCTCTCCTTTCCACGCTGCTAGTCCAGGATGGAAGGGACGCAACTCTGGCGCCGCGATCGCGCTGCGGCAGGGGACGATTCCAAAGGGAGGCCTACTTTGGGAGAGGACCGCTGAAGAGGGGTTCTGAGTGTGGGCTGGGGACGGTGAGTGGGTGCCAGGGAGGGCGCGGGGCCAAGCGGGGTGGAGGAATGGCGCCCTCCTTCGGCGCAACCTGGGCAGTCATGTCCCGAACCCTCCGCACGCTCCACGGTGCTGCCTTGGAGTCCCCGGGTGTGCGCAGGAAGGGGGCTGCGGATGCCTACGGGTTTGTGAGCAGGAAGCGGCGTTGACATTGAACACCGGCCGGGTGCGTGCGTGTGTGCGTGTGTGTGAGTCGTGGGCAGGGGGCAGTGCTTCGGGCTGCAGCAAACCACGGCCCTCGGGGAACAGAGCTCAGCGCGCCCCCGAGTCGCCGCCCGCGGGAGCTGCGAGCGCTGAAGCCATTCATGATTTTGGTGACGTTATTCCAGGAGTGGGCGAGGAAGGGCGGGGCCTCTCGGGGCCAAACCCCGCCCCCTCCCCTATAAATACAGCTTCCCCGGCTCTTTGTGGGAGCCGGAGCTCGGTGAAGAGCAGGGCGCTCGGTCTGCACCGCCGACGCCGCTGGCAGCCGGGCTGTCTGGGAAAGGCGGACCGGCGAAAGCCCAGTGCTCGCGCTCGGCCTCTGCCGCGCCCGTTTGCGCCCGTGTCATCCTCACTCGGGACGCAGTGACCGTTTTTAAATCACAAGGGCGTGGGTCAGCCTTCCCTAGGACTTCATGTCTGTATATTTCCCCATTCACTGGTGAGTATCCTGCGCCTGCGGCGGGCGCCGGTCTAACGACCGAGGCTTCGGGGCCCGGGCATCCGCTCGTGCGGACTCCGGTGACACTAGCGTCTAGCGCTAACCCGCCGCCGGGAGTCCCTGAAGGAGTCAGCGTCAAGGTTGCAAAGGTGGGGGTGGGGGGAGGTGGTGCTGAGAGCATCCAGACAAAGGAAGTGAACTCGGAACCTTCACGGCTGGAGGGTGTGTGGTGGTGGTGGTGGTGGGTGGGGAGAGCCTGGGGTCCCAACGAAACCTGGGTAATGAAACCCCTTATGCGGAGTCTGCAGGAGCGCGCGCCCAGCCTGGCGCAGGGGGCTCTTCTCTCCCAGAGCCCCTCCCCTTTTTCTTTTTGTTTGCATGCAAGTCTCGGCGTCGAGGCCGGCTGCAGCGGGGCTGAGCTGGTGCAGCCGTGGCGTTTGCAGAGCTCCGGGGAAGGGAGGGGGACGCGCTCCCCACACGTAAGCCACAAGCAGCAGGGCACACGCTGCACCCTCCTCGACCCCTGCCCTCTGCATAGTCCCTGAGATCCCACTCGCCTTTAAGTGAGCAGACTCTCTCGCGGTGCAGAAATGGAAGGAGCCGGGGCGGGGGCTGGGGGCGGCAGAGATTTGCCCCTGGCCGGGGATGGGAGATAGGAMGGATGCAGAGAGGCCCCTGGTTGCTGGGACGTGCGCGCCGGCTGCTTCTTCCTTCCTGAGCTAAGCAAAGTGGAGGAGTGGCCGAGGTGGAGGAGGGGGGACGAGTGCGGGTGGCCCCGGAACACGCTTTCAGGTGCGGGCGTGCGAAGCCCGGCCGGGGTTAGGGACAGGCTCCCTCCCAGCCAGGGGAAAGCGGGCTCCAGCCTCGGYGCAGCCCTATCCCAAGCGCAGCCGAGCCCAGGAACCAGAAAGTTCATACTTCTCACTTCAACTTTTTGGGGCCCGCGCCACAGCCCCGAGCGAGGACAGCGCCTCATATCAGGTGAAGAACCGAGCGTTAGCCCTGTGGGTGCTTCCCTGGTACTTTTTTTTTTTTCTTTTGAGGGTCAGCGGCAGCCTTTCCAAGACCTGGGAGGGACTTGCCTCTTGGAGGTTCCAGCCTTTCAATCTAAACCCAGCATCTTCTCTTAGTCTCCCCTCCCCCATCACAACCCGCCTCTGTTTAGAGAGGGGACTGAACTCTTAGAACAAAGTAAAAATCCCCCCACCCCTGAGGCTTGTACACCCGTCTCTTCCGGAAGCCGGACCCTTCTATCCCCTAATAATGTGCAGGTATCCAGGTGTCTTAYAGGTGAGACTTTGAAGGTTGGTGGAGGCTTTGTGCCTCTGGTCAAAATTTTGCAAGGTGAGTGTTAATGCCCCTCAGGGATATTAGCTCCTGAAAAATTAAAGTTCAGGGTTATTTTATTGATCAGGTCTTCACAGTCTGCAACAGTTTTACCCAGACCTTAGCCCTTAACATAACATCTTAGTAACAAACAGGGCACCTGTGGCTCAGAGGTTATACACTTGTTCAGGATCATGCACACTTCAGCAGCAGAGCCTAGACAAGAACCTATTGCTTCTGCTTCCAAAACCAATGTCATTTCTACTCTGTGTAGTAACTAAAAAATTAAGAGGAGTCTGGTATCACTGCTTCCTTAGATATAGTCTCTAAAGCATGCTTCACTTTTTTTTTTTAAACCATGTGCACAGACATAATGGTGAARATGCTGGGTATTGTGTAGCGGGTACCTGGATTTGGTATGTGGGTTTGGCATTATGCATACAGGACCCTGTGTGTGCCCATGGCTTGTGCAAGGATAATGGAACATTTGTATCCTGCTTTAGAGAGTACAAAGCACTTTCACATGTCTGCCATTGGTGGGCCAGCTTGGCCCCTCTGGAAATTTCCTTTGCAATCAGAGTCCCAGTATCCTTAAGGCTTTTTAATCCAGGGGATGTTTTTYAAGCTGCGAGCTTGCAGCTGCTGCTGCTGGGGCTAAAGAAGGGGGTTGGATGGCAGATGTGAAGCTTGCAGAAAAGCTGACCCCTTGGGGCTTTAAGTGGGACATTTTGCCAAAAGGAGCACTAGACAGACAGAGACATTTAGGAAGGCAGCAGGATTGGACTTTGTCTCCCTGAGGCTGGCCTATTATTGTTATTATGTAATAATAACATGCAGTTCCCCTTTGGAAATTCACACAAGGATTACTTTTGTTTTTAAGTGGAGGGGTGGAGGGAAGACCTGGCTGAGTTGGGTTTAATATGGATACATGGACTCAGCCACCTACTGTTGTGGTTTATTCTAGTTCTGTCTTTAAAGAAAAATTCAGGGTTGCCCTGTCTTAGATGGGACTATAATATTCAGGAGGGTCAGAAGAAGAAGGTTTGCAGATGGAGCTTTGTCAGTGGACTGGACAAGGGCCCTGGTGCTATGGGTTTGGAAGGTTTGGAAGCGTGGGAGCTTGTTTTGGTGCAAGCATTGTTCTGAGCACCTCTTATCCTGCCTCCAGAGATTCCCCTGGTCTCACAGCAAGTGAAGGCTCAGAGGAGGAAAATGCATGCATTTGTTGACTGTTGGTCTGGATTTCTTGGCAGCCCTGACTATCTGAGATCGGCCGAGATGACTGAGGTAATGATGAACACCCCATCCATGGAGGAGATTGGCCTCAACCCCCGGAAGGATGGCCTTTCCTATCAGGTGAGTTAAGTACTCTTGCTTAGAGTATGGTGGCTTTTGCTGGGGCTGAAAGTGTTACAGAGCTGGGGACTTTAGAAAAAACTAAGACAGCATGAAGACCCTCTCTTCAAACCCTGACTCATGTGATCAAATCAGAAAGATTTTAGACATGTTGCTCAGAGTAATAGGAATGAGTTTACTGAAGAAATAGGAAAGGGGTTAGGGACATTCTCAAGGGAGAGAGTGGGTCCTCTCAGAGAGGAGAAAGGCAGTGTGCCTGTCCTGCACTCTGGTTTTATTGGGGATCCCAGAGAAGTTTCCAGAGAGTCCCACCCAGGTTCACCTCTTGACTTTTGACTGACAGCAGGATGACATCAGACTTTCAAGATCTCACTGTCATGGTAACTCTAGGTCACCTTGGCCCATGCTGGCAGGTTCTAATTGGATTCTTAACCATGCATTCTTACAGATTTTATGGCTAGGAGGAATGACCCTTATCTCCCAGAGTTTCAGGATCTGGTCACAAAAATATCCTGAGTTCCTCTTGTCAACATTATCTTGGGCCTGCGTTTCTCTTGCAGTTAACAGGTAGTTTGCTGAGGAATGTAACATATCCTGTCCWCTAAGGCCAGGCAGGGCTGCAGTAAATTGCCTTTTGGAAAGGAAAGCATGTGGGGTTCAGTACAGTGGGCCCGTTTGAAGGGGCCCTTAACCTTGGGTTCCCACCATCCTCATATGTCTGTTTCCTAACAGAAGCACACTTGGTTTTGTGTCCCAAAGCCACCTGTAAGAGCTGTGTGATCTTAAGGCCAGTCCCCAAATGCCAGGAAACCTTAATTTCTTCATCAGTAAAGTGGGGTATCAATAGACTTCACCTCATAAGATTGTGATGATAAGTCAGCAGGGTGAGAGGATGGGTTTAAGGCATTCATAGTGCCTGGGACACAAAGAGTCCAGCAGACATTAGCTGCTGTGGCTGCCAACTGGCTTAGAGATCACCTGTCTGGTGGATCCAAAATGCATAAAGACCATGAAAAGGAACAAAGTGACACTTTCACTCTCTTACCCCCAGGGGTCTTACCACGCTGGTGACAGAGCACTTGTTACCCCTGGGGCAAATTGCTTTTGGATAGTCTAGGAGAGTTCCTAGGTTGCTAAATTTGGGGGAAGGAGGAGTTCTGTTTGTAAGGGAAGACTGTGAGGCTAGGGGAGTTTATAGAGGAGCTGCTGGTCCAGGGARGACAGATGGGGTGAGAGGGGCCATGCTGCAGGACTGAACCACATGCCTGCTGTGGACCAGGCATTGTACACACATTGCTTGCTGTGCCACAGCTCAGGTGGGAGTTCTCACTCTGCTCCACAGAGGAGGACACAGCCCCCAGCTGAGTTGGAGACAGGGCTCTCTCCAGCCCCAAGCCTCGCTCTTCTGATTCATGGCATACCTCCACCTTGGGCTGGTTCTGGCTAGAGTCTAGACTCACTCTGGCTGGTCATCCTTAGAGCTGTTCCAGGGGCATTTGTTTTGTAAAGAAAGAAACAAATAGAAAACCAGAGTAGGTGCAGACTGATGAGGGGAGAGTGATCAAAGGGCCAGGATGAAAGCTGAGGTTGGGAACACAGCTTGGACTCCCTTGGAGGCTCAAGGAGGCCCCTTTGTTTTGTATCAATAGAGTCAGGCCCCTCCTGCCGGCTGTTAATGAGGATTCCATTAGCCTGAAGGGCTGAAAAGGCTCTTTCCCCCAGTGGGTCTGAGGAAGGCAGTTGAGAGCCCCAGGGTCTGGTGGGAGGTGGAGAAKTTCCTGGCCTACCAACTAGGCCGTTTGTGGATATCAGTTTCCAAGCCTGTGAGTCAGACTGAATCTTTTTGTGGCTACAGGTGAGATTTTCTTTCATTTCAGGGTTTTAGATTTCCATCACAGAACCTTTCCAAACACAGTCATTGACTTCTTGCATGTGTTTTTTTTTTTTACACTCTCCTTTAAACAAGTCCCAGGATAAAGGGCCAGGCCCTGCAGGACAATTTTCTCAGCCCTTCAAGTGCTTCAGGCCCTTCTGCAGCATCTGAGGGTGGGTGCAGGTGATGATGGAGGACGGGGCTGCCATGCTGGGTGAGGAAGTCTTACTTGGGGCTGCAATGCTGAAGGAAAAATAAAGTCACCTCTGGGCTCCTGTGATATCACACCAATAAGAAAAAATTACTCTAGTCTTCCCTTAAGGTGCTGGACCAAGAGCCCAGTTCTCACAGCCCCCAGGAAATCTGCCCCTGCCCCTTGGGTGAGGACTATTGCCCAGTGCCAAAAGATCCTGCCTGGAACTTCAAAGCACTTTGTCAACAAAATGATTAGAGAAAGGGCTCTTGGTTGTGTAATGAAGAGAAAGGGGAGAAATTATACTGTTTGACSAAGTACACAGGCAATCTGGTCATTCTAGATATGGGCCATACAGAGGCTTTGGTCAATCCAGGTATGGGCAGCAATGATCAAATCWGAGTTGTAGAATCTAAGAAGGTCTGGAAGAGGGAAGGCAGAATAGGGCTGGGATATGAAATAAAATGAAGGCTTTCAGGAGGCCACACCATGTGTCATGTAATTGTTACAGCAGCAGACACCCTTTGGCTCACCCCAGTATGTGCCAAGTGAGAGACTCTGTAGTGAGCTGGTCTAACGATTCTCACGTGACAGATTTCTCTGGGCCCACTCAAATTAGTGCTATCCAATTAAAAGCTTTCCCACCAGAGCTCTGGGGATTGGCTGTGCTGGTTCTTGGCCGGAGCTGGTCTCTCTGCATGCTTGGGCTTGGCTCAGATCTGGGGGTGGGAATCTCAGAACTCTGCTCTTGGCTTTCCTCCTGAGGATAATAATAGTATGTGGCTTTTATTAAGACCTGCTTTTCCAAGGAACTGAGAGTGGGAAAGAGACATCAATCCCAACTTGGCAGATGAAATAGAATCTCAGGCTTGTGGTTTGACCTTGAAACAAGGTCATCAAATAATGGCCCATTGGACTTTGTCAGTCATTCCCCCACCTTTCAGACCTATTGAGAATGAACCTTTCCTGATTTCTCTGTACTGGATGTGACCTTTCTTTCAGTGCTTGTGGCATTTTGTACYTTGCCAGGATGTTGTGCTGGGCTTTGAGGATATGCGTCCTGCCTTACCTTCTCCTTGYCTGGGTTCTCAGGGCAGGAGATGACTTACTATCACCTTTGTACCCTGCCCCCACACTTATTGGCTCAGTGCCTTCACAGAGCAGGTGCTAAGTGGATGGTGGGCAAGTCTCTTGATTCAGAAACTGGCCACTTTCATCTCTTTCCTAGATCTGCTCAGGCCCATGCCTATAAGGGTTMCAAGTGAATGCCCTTTTTATCCCAAAAGATCCAGTTTAGCCCCATCTGTTGTCTTTTGATAGTACTATATTGCGAGCCAGTACCATTTGGATATCACATCAGATAAGCGATATCCATGTCTGCACATTTATTTGGCAAGAATTATGTCATCCCACAGGTTGGGTGAGTAAATAGTTACTAGAAAGTCTGAGTACCTTTTGAGCAGGCTGTTGGTGACAGCTGACTCTCAGAGCTGAGTGGGAGGTCTCCCTGAGGACATTTATGACCCTGAAGGCTTTAGCTTCCTGCCTACACTGTAGGCCCCGAGTCACCAACCTGTGGGACAGGAATGTCTGCTGTCCATCAACACAAGTCAGCGGCTGCCTGGGAAGCCTGCTCCTTCCATGGCTCCAGGACTCTAGGCATGTGGTGCTTGGGGATCTCYGACTGGGTCTCCTTTTATGCTAGGCTTGCATTGGTCTGGGCTCTGTACAGGGAAGCATCCTAGAGGAGCTTCTGGGCTCTTTTGGTGCTGAAACCCAAGAGGCACTGGGATTCCGGTCTTGCTGCCTGACTCCCCCCTGCATGTAGGCCTCCACAGTTTTACCCACGTCAAGGTCAAGACATAACTATGGCTTCTTAGTTTTAAACTGTCCTTTCTAAAGCATCCCCAATAAGATCTGATATCAGTATCCTTCCTGGGGACTCTTTCTGGGGATCCCTTCCTWAGCAGAGCACGCCCCTGACTGGTTGCCTTGGTATTCCACCTGCCATTGCTCTTGGTCATGTACTTCTGCTACTTGATATCATCTACTAGGCAGGCAAGCAGCAGACTTTCCTTCTCAGGGAGTCAAGGGATGCCACTCTCAAACCAGAAGGAGCAATTTCTTCACAGAATGCACTGCTCCGGTTCCCTGTGTGTTCCTTTTGATCTACTGAGCAGAGAGCTTCTCCATCTTCCCCTTCATCTCCCAGGGCAGGAAGGAGTAATCCAAGGGAGGAGGAGGGATAGAAGTGGCCCAGACGGTTTTGCCTCTGCCTGTTATTTGCTTCTTGAGGTCTCGGAGCCTCAGTCTCACTCTGTCCTGGGGAGGACTCATGGGAGCTGGGAATCAGCTCCCAGGGAATTGGGCCCTGGACAGGGTCTTKCGGCCCCTTCTGTCTCAGAGGCTCATCCACAGCCAGCTGCTSTCTCTTCAGAGCCCCTTGTTCTTTACCAGGAACAGTGATTCCTCTCTGGTCCAGGAGAGCACTGAACAGCAGCATTTCAGAACTGTCCTCATGCACCCTACACGGAGCCACCTTCATGAATGTCCTGAGCCTGGCTCACTGTGCTGCTCTCATCAGGGTGAGGTGCATGTGTCTACACAAGGGCTGAGCTTAGCTTCCCTGTTCCTGGGTTAGGGCCTCAGGAAGGTTGCTGCTCAGCAACATACTGCTGTCCCCCTCAAGCCCCTGCATGTAGGTCACTCTGGGAATAACTTATCAGCTCTGTTTGTGTCCTCCTCCCGAGTCCTCTTGTCTCATTGGTTACCCCTGCATGTCCCCCAGAGCTCGAGAGGCCCCACTGAGCAACTGCACACAAGTCCCATGGTCACCAGGAAACCATCTTTCACAACATCAGACTTTAAAAAGGCACAGGAGTCCCTGGAGAGACATAAAGCTAAAATTCCAAAACACTTGGCAGGAGACAGCCA